ATAGCGCCGTCGTCAATGGAATCAGACGACGACTGCAAGAACGATCCTCGTCGACTACGGAGACGACAAGGAGCGGTCGACTACGGAGACGACAGGGAGCGGTCGACTTCAGCAGGCGAGATTAGAGCTATAGTTACGTGAACGACGTCGTGGGAGACGCCGAAGAGAAGGGAAGAAGCCGAGAGATTCACCGCTGGAAATCGCCATGGGGCGAAACTCTAGCAGAGCGTGCCGCTGCGGACGCCATATATATATATATTTATATATATTACAGATAGATTTTGTGGGAGGTCCCTAATATGAAACCCTGCCCACACAAAAACTGACCATAAAGGAATTTCCCTACTATAGCAAAACGCCAAGAGGACGCGAAAGTACAAATACCTAATATATATATATATATATATATATATGTGTGTGTGTGTGTGTATATATACATATATAAAATATAAATTTGCAATAAATGCATACATAAATTATAAATTGGCACAAATTTCATTATCAGACGTTGTAAAATAATATGAATCTTGTGCCAACGTTGAATATCTAAATTATATATCATATTAGTTGACTAGGAAATTTGATGTTTAATTTTGAAATTTTGTAAGTAAAGAATATAAGACAATGAGAGTAACACATGATCAAAATAAAATATTTGAGGATATATTTGAGTGGTTAGGTTATGTACAATAGAAGACACTCGCACTCAAAAAAAAAAAATAAAAAAAAAAGAACTCAAAATGTTACCATAAGTCTTCTAGTAATTGGGTGTTTACATATATATATATATATATATATATATATTAATATCCATTCAAGTTCAATTTAAACTTGAAGTTTTTTTTTGGGTATTATTGAAATTGCCTCGCATATGGAAATGTTCTATATTGGATTTTCAAATATGAGATATGTAAAATAATTATTATTGAGATTTAATATAATAATAATAATAATAACATATTATTATTATTATTATAAATTACAAAAAATTTAAACTTCATCAATAAAAATCATAAAGAACTAGAAAATACAACAACAACAAAAACAACAAAAACAACAAGCCTTTATCCCACTAAGCGGGGTCGATTACATGAATCATTTTTCTTGGTTGCGTCCTATTGAGTGTCATATTTTCATTTAATTCTAATAAATTAATATCATTTTTTTTTATACAACATGCCAAAATCCTTTTAGGTCAACTTCTCTCTTAACATAAGTTGAATTTAAACATCCACTCTCCAACAAGATTATCAGATAGTCGACGTTTAATTTGACCAAACCATCTAAGATGACTCTCTCTAATCTTGTTTATAACTAGAGCTACATCAACCCTGTCACAGATATATTCATTTCTCATTTTATCTCCAAGTGTCAAGCCACTCATCCACCTAAGCATTCTCTTCTCAGCAACACAATTGTTTTATGATTCTCTTTTAAAGGCCAACATTCTGCGTCATAAAGCATTGCAGATCTCATCACCATCTTATACAATTCTCCTTTCAGTCTAAGTGATACTTTTCTATCACACAATAGACCCGATGAATTCCTCCAGTTCAACCAACCAACTTGAATTCTACTAATAACATCCCCATCAATAAAACCATAACTTTGAATAATGGACCCAAGATATCTAAAGTTTTCACACCTTTTAATGATTTGATCACCCTTGGTTAAAACTCTACCACTAGAGCTACTACTACTAAAATTATATTCTATGTATTCAGTTTTAAATCTATTCGAACGAAGACCTTTAGACTCCAATGCAGACCTTCATAATTCAAGATTTTCCTGAAATTTTTTTCTAGTTTTATCTACAAGAAGGATATTATCGGCGAAAAGCATAAACCAAGGTACATCCTCGTGTAAATGTCTAGTAAGAGCATTCATAATTAAAGAAAAAATATGTGGGCTCAAGCCGATCCCTGATGTAATCCAGCTGAAATAGGAAAATACTTTATCAATTCTCCTTCAGTTCGAACAAGTAATAGCTCTATTATATTTATCTTTAATGACTTGAATATAAGTCATATCGACACCTTTCTTCTCTAAAACTCTCTAAAACTCTCCAAAGGACTTCGGACTTCTCTTGGAATCTTATCGTAAGCTTTTCTAAATCATTAAAAATCATATGTAGATCCTTTTCATTCTCTCCGTGCTTCTTCATCAAATCTCTCAATAAATGTATAGCTTCCACAGTAGACTTACCCGACATAAATCCAAATTGATTACGATAAATCTTTGTAATACATCTTAACCTATGTTCAATTATGCTCTACTATAATTTTGAAGTATGACACATCAACTTAATTCATCTATTATAATTTGCACACTCTTATGCATCCTCTTTATTCTTAAAAGTGGGGATCAAAATACTCTTCCTCCACTCAGATATATTTTTAGTTTTTAAAATAATATTAAAGAGTTTAGTAAGCTAAGAAACTCCCAAATCTCTTATATATTTTCACACTTTAATTGAGATATCATCAAGTTTTACTGATTTTCTACTATTAGTTTTCTTTAAAGCCTCATTCACTTCTTTTTTACTAATGCGACTGTGAAATTAAAACCTTTTATTATTATTATTAACAATATTAAGGTCATTAAGGTCGATTGAATTTTCAAAAAATTTATTGAAAAGTTTATCAAAATTGTTCACCCACCTATATTGAATATCATCTTCTAAGAAAAATACTTTTTGATTTTCATTTTTAATGCACTTTACATGAGGTAAATCTTTACTTTTCTTTTCTCTTTATGTTTTTTTTCTCTTTATTTGACTAGCTTATACATATATTTTTCACCCTCTTTAGATCTAATATATTATAAAAATTACTAAAAGAAAAATTTTTAGCTCATTGATTGTTCTCTTAGACTCACTACGGGTCATCTTATATTTTTCTCAGTTCATTAAGCTTTTTTATTTAAACCAATTTTTATAACATAACTTATTAAATTTTATCTTTTGTTGCACATTACAAACTATTTTGTTATAGAAAATTTTCGATTTGATTCTCTAAGTACATCTTTTGCCACTTGTTTAATTACTATATTCTACATAAAATTTGCATCTTTATGAACATCCTAAATTTTGAAATCTTAAAGTTTACTGATAAAATTAATTTTATTTGTATCTTTTTGATGTCATCATCCAATTCTTTGGTAATGATTTCTAGTATTCTTTATTTTACAATTCTTCATCTTAAAATCCATAAATAATAATCAATGTTAAGTACTTTAATTCTTACTTGGAATTTCCTTATAATCCTTACATTCTCGACGATCTCTTCTTCTCATAAGAAAATAATCAATTTGTATTTTATTAGATCCATTCTTGTACGTAATAATATGTTCATCTATTTTCTTAAATGAAATATTAGCAATAACAAAATCATACGCTAAAGCAAAATCTAATATGATTTTACCTTCTTCATTAATCACTCCAAAACCGTAGTTACCATGAATATTTCTAAAATCTTCAATCACTTTACCAACATGTCCATTTAAATCTCCAATAAAATCTCTTACTTCAAGCGGTATCATTTGTATTAATTCCTTTAGGTCATTCCAAATCTTTTCTTTAGAACCTATATCTAATCCTACTTGTGGAGGATAAGCACTTATAACATTAAAAATCTTAGTATTAACAGCAATCTTAAGGGCTATAATTCTATCTTCAATTCTATTAATTTTTACAACATTATCTTTCAAACTCTTATCTATAGCTATATCTACACCATTTCTAGCGCGACTCTTACATGAATACCAAAACTATCAATCTCCTTAGCATTTTTTTAACCCATTTTGTTTCTTGAATACATAAAATATTTGACTTCCTATGAACCATAATATCAACTAATTCCTTTATATTACCCGTGAGAGTACCTATATTCCAAGATCCCATCATAATATTAGTTTCATTGACTAACTTCTTTACCTGCATCCGTTCATAATATGAGATCCTTACTTATTTGACACTACACTTGGGTGTGTTGGTGTAGCGGCCCTTGCATATTTTCACTATATTCAGACCATACAACATGTCACCTCTAGGGATGCCCTAGCATTTGTATAAGGATTTAAATGATTCATGTCATAATTTTTCGATAAATTTATGCTAACTATCGACTACCAAATGCAACCCTCCACTTTTCACATCCGGGACTTGAGACCCAACAAAGAGAGTTTTGTGACATATAAAATAAAAGAAAATATAACTAAAAATTATAAATTTAATTATAAGTCATCAGAATGTAATTAGGTTAATATGCAAAAAATATTAAAGTGAGAAATACTATTTTATTGCTACATATAACATTTTTTTTTATGCAAATTTAATTCCATGTCATCCACAAGTTTGGTCATTTCCCAATGCAATTGAGCTATACCTCAATATAAGTTTTGTCACATGTTCTCGTCTTTGACAAAATTTTGGAATGCAGGAGTGCCACTTTCTGAAGGTCATTTCCCAATGCAATTGAGCTATACCTCAACAAAATTTTGGAATGCAGGAGTGCCACTTTCTGAAGGGTAGTCGTAATTGTTTATGAAACAAAAATGAATTATAAAAATAAAGATAAAAGATGGCATACCCATGATGTAACGGATAAAATTGGAATGGCTAATATTTGCCATCTCTCTAGCTTTATATATATATATATATTATTTATTATTTTTTTATGACATGATAGCTAAATATGAGACATTGTGAGTATACTGCATGCATTATGCTCAAAATTTTAATGGATTTTTCTTTTGTTACTAAAACTTGCATAAAAAATCCATCCGAATATCAACAAAATCATCAGCAAAATACCTGTGCGACTTTTGAAATTATGCATTTAAAAAAGCTTGATCCTCGTGTCTTGTATTATTTGAAATGCTTATGCAGAGAGAAATCTTCGTATTTAGTTCTATTGATGAATGATTGGAAGTATATTTTTCTTTATTTTACAGCCTATAAAAACCTCGCACATAAAAGGAAATTGATAGTATTTTTACAGATATATTCGAGGAGCACAGTTCATTAGCAACCTTGATTCAAATATTATAGCTCAGGTTGATGATGACAGAGGAGCTTCTGTATTAGTTAAGAAAGAGGGAACAGTTAAATCCACTCCAGTTGCCCCCACTATGCGTGCTCGCTTCATTGGCCAAGGTTACAAGCAGGCAAGTACATTTTTTTAATACATGCAGAGCTTATTATTTGGTTGCTTCTAAGCTTGGTAAATTTGTTTATTATATCTTATAATATCTGCTAGAATAAATTTTTCTATTTTTTTAATTCTTAAAGGCATTGATACCATGTGCATTTCAGTTTTATTAATTCCGACATCTTTTGTACTTATGATCTGATTTGAGGAGAGCTGATGGTGCATGAGAGAAAAAAGAGAGCAATATAGCGAGGCTATGGCCTGAGGGACTTTTATTTGGTCTGTTTCATCATTTGTTGATTATGATTTGTAAAATTTTTATGAACCGTCAAGCGGTTCTACATTGTAGCTATCTCCTCCCACACTCACCTTCTCTCTTTCTTGGTAGTTCTTTGGGGATAAGGAGATTAGTTTCTCTTTACTGTTGAGGTCTTGGTTGGTGGTTCTCATCGTAGATTTCGTCATGTAATGTTGTCTCATTTGATCTCTTTTTTGATCTTCTTTTATTTATCAAGTGTCTGTGTGGTCCATTGATGGGGATGCTCTTGCATTTGACGATGGCGTCCTTTTCATGGAGGATGCATTTCCTTAAGGGGCATTTACATAAATACCACTCCGTTATTATTTATTTACTTATATAACACCTAAATTTATTTTTAAATTTATTTTTAACGTTTATGACATCCAAGTCTTTCTTATCAAATAAAAAATATCATTATTTTAGCTTTTCAAAAGTCATAATGTTTTCATGCATAGGTATGGTGCCATAAAAGTAAAATTACAGTTTAGGTGCTAGATATGTAAACACATTAGAGTTTAAGTGATAATTTTCCTTTCCTTAAATGTTTGATGAGGTTCTAAAGTACCTTGAAATTTGTTCCACATGGCCTTCTCTATCCTTTATCTTGCCAGGTGTTCAGGGATTTGGTTTTCAATCTTCACTTGAGTCCATTTGAGTTGAGCTGAGCTTCTGTTGAGCGGAAACACAATGTTATTTGGGTTGCGGAGCCAAGCTTGTCATCATTATGGGGCCTCCTTTGGTGTCGGGTTAGATGCGTCATGCTGAACTAGGAGCAGTTAAGCTAACTAGGCATTCCAAATGAGCGCCTTTTAGTTTTCGTAACACTTTATTTCTATGTCCCAAATCTATCTAACATTGGCCAATTCATTCACTCAACAATTGAATGCTTGTGCGGATTAAAATCATTTCTTTTAGGAGGACGAAATTTTACACCCACATCAATTTCCTCTTTTTTTCAAATCCATTTTTTGAAAAAGGTGAGTGCCAAAGTAGTACATTGACTTTTTGCAGGGAGCTATTTTAGTCTAATTGTCTTTAGAAGTGACAAATTAGCCGCCACACTCTTTTAATAGGGGTGTCTTTTCAGTTCATATTATATAAGTATGGGGACTAATTGGACATTTTTATAGACTAAGATTAAAATCACCCATATACATAGTTAGAGAACTATTTTGACACTTTACTCATTGTAGAAAGATACAAAGAGTTTCAATGAAGTATTGGGGACTCGAACACTGAACTTGAATTTGCATTCTCTCCCATTCTTTGGGTGGTGGATGACATTGTCAATGCCATTCATCTTAGACAGTCTTTGACATAAAGAGTAGTGATTATTTATGCCCACTTTAATGTGATACGTATGAAACTTTTGGTTTGGTTAGTTAAGTGGCAACTAATTTCTCTTTTGGTTTCCTCAAGCGTTAGTGTTGGTTGATGTGCTTGTTATTTGAAAATGTTTAAAAGAGAGAGCTGGGAATGTAACTCATGCCTTGTAAATGGTTTTAGTAGATAGAGGTTATTCCTCACCTTTAGACTTTCTTTTTGGTACTTTTAGCTTTTATTTCTTCCACTTTCTTCTTTTGGATTCGATTTCTAAAATTTTTAGATGTGAATGATGCCATTGAAATAATAAATCAGTAAATATTTGACGCTGGACATCTTCTGCAATTTTACGAGACACAAATCTCTCGCTACAGTGCGGGACGCAGATGTGCCGCTTTGAACTAGAATTTGCACCATCTGGGCAGCTAAACTGGTTCAGCA